CCATTTGTTCTTTCATGGAATAATAACTGCATCAACACTCAGCTCATTGACCATCCCAGCTCTATTCTCCACAAGCTTCTTATCATCCTGAACTCAGCAGGCTGCATTCTCTCCTGCACAAGGTTTCATGAGACCAACACTCAAGTTTCACTAACTCCCCATTCCTAGATCTTCATTCGTACTTTTAAATATTTACACAGTCTTCCTCCACCCAATCTCTGCAATCTCCTACAGTCGGACTCCGAGTCCACTCCCTGCAACTAAGACTTGCTTCGTGTTTGCAACCTTCCAGCACACCAAAACGAGCTTTCAACCATTTGCTCCCACTCTCTGGAACTCTATCCCTAAAGCTCTCCACCTCACTCAGTTTCTCTGTTTTCATAACCCATGTAAATTTCTATCTCTTTGAATGCACTTTTAGTCACCTCTGGCAACATTTTCCACTCTAGTCGGGCTCTCATCTTAATTAGTGCTTTGAGACAATCTTCTACACATAACTCCACTATTGTCATTTTAAGATCATTAGCACCTTTTACTTAAAATATTTCCAAATCTATTATAAATGTTGTTGTTGTAATTGATTAGAAATAAAGTGAAGCTTGTTATATGAGCAAACAATCCATAAACAAGTATATTTTAATGACCATAAATTTTCTTTATTTGAAAGAATTAGTGCAGTTACGTGTTCCACTCTAAAAAGTGAAAATATAAATCTTAATGTAGGACAAATTTGTTCCTGAAATGAGCTTTCTACTGTAAAATCAGGAAACAGTGAAATGGATATTGACTAGGAATGATGGAATATGCAAATACATCATTAAGTAGTGTTAGGGCTTAACATTACCACATTACCATTTGGATATATCAACACCATATGTCAAATTTAGGAACTGATGCATATTTGATTCATTATCACACACATCAGTTTCTGTCTATACCACATGATTTACCTTTTAAGTTTACTTTTGCTAGATTTCCAAGCGCAGTAATTTTCAAACCTAGTGAAGCAGTTCAGCCATTCTCTTACTAACAGCTGTAGTTGTTGCAGCAATATCTAGATCCAGTACAGTACAATTTACTTATACTCATATATATATATAGTGCTTTTCACATCAGCGGGACGGCTCAAAGCGCCTAGCATTGCCAACTGAGCACCCAAGCCGAGGGAGGTGGGAAAAAGCGTGGACTTTCAGTCCATAACTCGGTAAGTTTTGAGATGGACCTTGAATGAAGGGAGGGAACGAGCAAGCAAGTTGGAGGGACTTTGGGATGGAGTTTCAGAGAGCGGGACAGATGGTGGGGCAGTTAGGACAGGGGACATGAAGCGAGCCAATGTTGGCTGAGCAAAGAGAGAGAAAGTCGATATGGTTCCAGGGGGTTGCAGAGGTAGGGAGATAACCTCATGGAGGGATTTCAACTTGAGAATGAGGATCTCGAACTTGATTCGCTGGGGGATCAGAAACCAGTGCAGCTGAGTGAGGTTCGGGGGGTACTTCAATGATCTTTCCTGTGACTCCTTGTATTCCTTGTATATATTGATGACCTGGATTTGTAGACCCAGTGTAAGTTAATTAAATTTGCATATGACACCAAGTTGAGGAGAATCTGTGGAATTAGATCACAAGAAGGCAATCTCAAACTGGACAGTGAGCAAGATTAGACAAGTTAAGTCTCTTCAGTGTTGAAAGGAGGCATCTCAGAGAGGACATTATAGAGGTATATAAGATTTTACATGGGATTGAGAAAATTACTCTGGAACAATACTTCTGAATGTATAGAGACAGCAGAACACAGGGATATAGGTTTAGGGTTGCAAAGGTGAACTTGAGGACAGATACCAGGAAGTATTTCTTTCCTCAGAGGGTAATTAACAACTGGAGCAGGTTACTAGCAAGGGTGCTGGAGGCCGAGACCCTGCACATTTTTTAAAAAGTGCTTGATGCTGTGATGCAAAGCAGTAGGGTGGAATGATCAAATGGACCAAAGTGCTTTCTTCATCCGAACCTCTCTTATGATCGTGTGAACACATCAACAGTCAGAATTATATTGAAGAATTAGGCAATTGTTATATGGGTTGTGAAGTAATTAATGCAGAAACATATGATATTTATAATGTACATGGACAGCACACAATCACTCTTCCTATTTTGTGGTATACTTGGCAGATGTTAAACGCTACAAACAAGACAAGAATATGTATTGCAGTTAATTCATTTTGTAACCTCACCAGTTAACAATAACAACAACTTGCACTTATATAGCGCCCTCCACGCAGGGTAGCATCTCAGAGTGCCTAACAGTGGTGGAGCATGACTCCGAGCCGGGGGAGGGGTGGGAGATGGTCATAAGCACAGTTGGAGGAAAGTTCAAGGAGAGAGGGGGCAAGGCGGAGAGATTGAGTTTCAGGGCGTAGTGGCTGAAAGCACGACCTCCGATGGTGGGAAGGAGAGTGTGAGGGACGAGCAGAAGGCCGGTGCCAGTCGAGCGAATGTGCCGGTTGGTGGATTGGGGAGTGAGGAGGTTGGAGAGGTAGGGAGGTGCCAGTGAATGAATGGATTGAACACGTGTGTGAGGATCTTGAAGTCGATCCGTTCTGTGATGGGGAGCCAGTGAAGCCTGACTAGAACTGGTGAGATGTGGATACAGAGTTTGGTCCAGGTCATTATCCAGGCGGCAGAGTTCTGAATGAGCTGGATCTTGTGAATGATGGATCTGGGGAGACTGGCGAGGAGTGCGTTTGAGTAATCCAAGTGGAAGGTGACAAACGCATGCACGAAGGTTTCGGCTACATTTGGAGTAAGATTCGGTCGGAGGCGGGCAATGTGGCGGAGAAGGAAGAAGGCAGTCCTGGTCATGGACCAGATGTGGGGGAGGAAGGACAGCTGGGGGGATCAAAGCGGATGCCTAGGTTGCGCACTGGTTCGGTGAGTCTGAGGGAGAGCCCAGGGAGATTGAGGAGTTTAGATCTGCAGAAGTGAAGACATTGACGGGAGTAAAAATAGTTAAATAGTGTATCTATCCTGTGGCATGAAACTCCTGCAGAATTTCTTGCACTTTCTACATTATAATTATTATTTTAATTAATGAATATGAATGATGCCTTGATTTTTAAAAATGCAATGTTGTAAACTCTCTTGACAGTAGACAAGTCCTCAAACCCAAATAAAAATAATTTAATTACTCAGGCCCATCTTGTTCTCCTCTACATTTACATTCTATGTTGATGGTTGAAGTTTGATTTTAGATCTCCGCTGTTATACAATCATTTTCATACATATATTACATTTGCATCCTACTAACTAAAAGTAAATTAGTAGACCAATTCAGATCACTCTAAAAGAGTCCTTGTGGCAAGTTCTGAAAAAATACTAGATTGGTGAAATAGATGTTCATAATTATGGAACATGTAATGGAATACTGCAAATTCCACCCCATCAATAGTTTTTACTGTGTTTATTGTGAAGTAGTTAATGTTAATTATTTTTCAAATGAAGGGAATAAATACAGAAATCCTCATCTGTATTTATGTGTATGTTTTTGTTGCCAGAAGACAAAATTACAAGTAATAAGAATCCAATGGACATTGGAGCTGCAATATATTCTGTTTCTGTTTACTCTTTCGGAAAATTAGCTTTTGATTTTTTAAGTATTTTAGTGGAGAGTGAGGTGATGAGTTAGGCATTTGTTCTGCGCAAGTTAAAGAACTTTCTCAAGTGTTCCCACCAACCTGAAAACTCAGCTGCTGCAAGGATGCCCCCTGCAGTCTGAATATTTCCTGTAGGAATAATTCTGAACTGGTACAAAATCTTTGCTTTCTTCAATAAGTAAATAATAATAACAATCCTTGCATAAATAGCACCTAAGCTGTCAAACTTCTCAAAGTTTTTCACATTTCTATAAAGTGTAGTGAAATATAGATCTACATTGCAGTGGAAGATTTAAAGACAGGACCTGAAAACTAAGGAAAAAAATTATATTTCAAAAGGGGAGGACTTTTTCACAAACCAGTGATTTTTCCTTAACAATTGTGAAAAAAATGTGGATTTGATGCACATTCTGCCAATTCAATAAATTAACGCATATTTCACACTGTGTGCAAGCATCTTTTATTTTGTTGTGAAACTTAAGATAAGAGTTTGTGGAAATAGTTTTGATCTGAATTGGATTGTAAGAGATATAATTGTAAAATATATTTTTTAATATTCTTCTGATGTCCGTTTCACATCTCTCCAAAATTGAGATCATAAATACTACTTTAAGGTGTCAGCCTGGCTCAGTTGGTAGCACTTTCACCTCTGAGTCAGAAGGTTGTGGATTCAAGTTCCATGTTGCGTCTTTGAACTCCCATAATGTAGGTTGACAGTCTAATGCAGTGCTGGGAGAGTGTCTTATTTTGAAAGTATTGGCATTTGGATGAGGGTTTCAAACAAAGGTCTTGTCTGCCTGTTCAGATGGACATTAACAATCCATGACACAATTTGAAAAGAGAAGGGATTTTTTCTTGATGTCCAAGCCAAATCATTCACTTCATCGATGTCTTTGGGATATTCTTGTGTGCAAATTAAATGCTGTGATCGCCTACAAAAATACACATTACATTAAATACACATTATAATAAATCCTGTTAAGCACTTTGAGATGTTCTACTGAGGTGAGAGACGAAATATCAAATAGAAGGATATTTTTGGAATTCTACTTAATTTCAATATTTCTTCAACTCTTTTGATTTGCATCGAGCCCAGTTTTCTTGCTTTTGCCAGATGTTAAAATAATCTTATCATTATCATTAAAAACGTATGCATCCTAATGATTTAATGTATGAAAATATAGCCATTGGACATTCTGCGAATTTGAGAATGTGAGAATTAATGAATGTAATTGATTCATTAGGAATTCAATTGGAGACTCTTCCTTTTCTATGTTTATATCGAAACAGAAATGAGAAGTGAAGAACATTTTTTTGAAAATCCTGACTTGCATATTGATGTTTGTATCTGCAGAGAGCCAAGAAAAATTGTACTGCACAAGGGATCCACTGGACTAGGTTTTAACATTGTCGGGGGTGAAGATGGTGAAGGAATTTTTGTCTCATTCATCCTGGCAGGTGGGCCAGCTGATCTCAGCGGGGAATTGCGAAGAGGAGACCAAATTTTATCAGTAAGTACAATTTTGTAAGTTAATGGGAATAAATATTAAATCTTAGTTTCTTTTGTTCTATTATATGTTCAGTAAAGGTGGAATGTATCTGCTGTGATCTGTTTGCTAACCTTGCAAAAAGTATGGTAAGGGGAAGGAACTTTGTCCTCCACTGTCTTATTTTCTTCCTGTCATTTTATTCTTTCCTCCCATTTCGAGATACGCTTCAGAAATATTAACTAAATGTTAGATTTAAATTTTAAGTATAAAAATGCACAGGATTTGTGTTTCTTTCAATAGGCCTTATATAAAATGAGGCAATGGGATAGATGGAAGTGGATTTTGACTCAGGAACCCATTGAGCTATTCAGATAGAATAAGCTCATTGCAAAGCTTAAATATGTAATTAGTTATTTGATATCTGAATTTTGATTTGCAATTTGGAAGATGACCAGAAGCACACACAAACAGGTAGATTTTGAGTTGGACTTTGTGCCCTTTTGTACATAAAGCCCAGGTGCACAAAATGTAAGAAGAGGCGACATAACAACCTGGAATTGAGTTTTTTTTACTCTTTGTTACAACACACCTCTTAGATATTGGACTGAGTTATAATGGGGTTGCCCTATATTTATGATTACAAAAATATAGAAATGTAGGACATACATTTTTTGGTAATTTATTTATATCTTATTACAATAAGCTTTCTTTTATTAACTTTCTAGATAGATTGCCTACAATTGATAAATATATGTGTGTGTGGTCCTACAATGCATTCAAATAAAATCCAATATAATTGCATTTCTGTTCAATGTGCAATAGTACCAGTTTACATCATGTACCTTGATCACAGGAGACTGCATTACAAAGAGGTGTCGCTTAATATCAGAGCCAAGCCAGATAGAACTGAGGTCTGAAGCATTTTTACACACCGGGGTTTGTGAAGGTGTTTCAAGGCAGCTATACAGTAAGAGGTTAGGATATATATTCTTCACAAGGTGTGAGTTTAAGTGATATTTAGGAGCTATGGGGGTGGGGGTGAATGAATCTGTAAGGAGAACCGTCCAGTGTTGGATAAATCTGGAAAATAAAGTATACATTGTAATGACAGATTGCGCCACCAGAAGGCACACTCCTTTACTGTTTGAAATCGACCATTGTACCTGCTGAGCAGTAGATTTTTGCATTTAAGATTGAAACATATCGACTTATCCAAGGATCAGTGAGGCACCAAAAATAAAGTACCAAAAATAAGAACATATCCCAGTTTTACCCGGTTTCTCTTCATAGCTAAACCCCTTCATTCCAGATATTAATCTGGTGCATTGTTGCCATATGCCCCTACCAATCTGTCCGCTCCTTCCACTCAGCGGACTCCAGCCTGTTTCCGTCCCCCGCCTCGCCCGCCCCACCATTGGCGGATGGGCCTTCAGCCTCTCTGCCCCCTGCCCTCTGGAACTCCATCCTACAGTCCTTCCACCTCGCCCCCTCCCTTGCCTCCTTCAAGACCCTCCTCTTCAACCGTGCCTCTGTCACCCTCCTACCCACCCTGCCCTCCACCTTCCCCGATCCCGACCCCCAGCCCGGCTCCAAATCCTTGACTGTCCAGTGCTTGGGACGTCCTCCCAACATGAAGGCGCTATACAGATGTATTATATTTTGTATTGTATATGTGCTCTAAAACCAGTAAATCGTTCCCAAAATACCCAAAACAGATACAGTACTCCAAATGAGGACCTCTCTATATAATTATGCAATTGTAGCAGCACTTCTTTGCTTTCTTATTTGACATTGTAATAAAGCCCACAGCATCCTTCCTAACCATTTTGATTTTAACTGACTCCAAGATGTTTTACGGTGTCTCATTTAGCTTCTTACCCATTCCTTGGGCCTGCTATGTAATGTGAGCTGCTTTGGTTTAATGCTGTTTTGAGACGGTCGTTGTGCAGGAATTTCTATGGTTCCTCGTCTTTGCTGATAGTCAGTATCGGTGCTCTGTTTTAGCTACAGTACTGGCTACTTGGAGGAAAATTGAGGGAAAACATAACACCAGAATTGTATTTTTATTTTTTATGCTGTTTGCGATCCCTTGACAGCAATCTCTGGAGACTTCTGGTAAACCATCCCCTTAATGAAAAGACAGGTGAACTGCTCGTGGAAACCTCTACTTAGCTGATTAAAAGTGAGAGCAGACAATATTCTGCTTAACCAAGAGATGGCAGCAGAGTTCAACAATAACTGGTGGTTAGTTATTCCTCCAGCAGATGAACTTTGTCTCATTCTCAAGATACAAAACAATACAAAATAGTAATAATAATCCTTGCGTTTGATATAGCGCTTTTTCACATCTTCTAGATGTCTCAAAGCTATTCACAGAATATACCAAGCAGCACCAGAGGGCGGGGGAGGTAGGGGTAGGAGGGTGACCAAAGGTATGGTCAAAGAGGAGGGTCTTTAGACCCGCCTTGAAGGAGGCAAATGATAATAATCCTTGCATTTAATATAGTGCTTTATCGCATTGTCGAAACCTCTCCAATCAGAAAAGAGGTTCAGATGAAGAAGGCTCTTTGGCCCATTTGATTTTGCACTTGATTCATCTGAAACTATTTTTCTGGGTTTACTTTACTCCCCACACACCATCTTATCAGAGGATAACAATAGAGGCTTAGAGGTCCACCTGATCTCATACTTTCAAAATATGCCCTCCCCATTGCAAATTATTACTTAAATAAGTTCAGTCTTTACCTTTTGTGGTAACCTATTTCAGCTTTTGATTATTTTTGGAAAAAGAAACACTTCCTAGTGTTAGGGCTAATTACTCTTCATGGAATCCTTAACATCCACCTGAAACGACAGAACAACCTCAGTTTAACATCTGATGTGCTGCTGCCTCTGTAAATGTGAAAGTATTGTTCTGGATTTACTTTCTGGGTTCTGTTTTAATTTTTATCTGGCAAAACAATTTGGGTTAGTCCAATAACTTCCATTAACAACTGATTTTAAGGACACGTTTAAATGATTTTTTTGCCCTTGTTAACCTTATAACACCACATTCCCCTGCCCCTGTATAACGTGTATCCAGCTTATTTTTGAGGAAGTTGAACAATACCATATTAGCTGTTTCTGTTGGAAGTCTTTTTCAAATATCCACATTCAGCCCACTCTATTTAAAACAAAAAATATTTCTTGGTTTTGTATAAAATTGTTACTCTATCCTCTCATTCCATAAGTCAGAACAAAATTGCCTGCTTACATCTGCATGAAATAGGTGTAGCTGTCAGCCTTGTTCAGTTGGTAGCACTCTCACCAGAAGCTTGTGCATTCAGGCCCACATCAGGCCCCAGATAAACTTGGACATTCATTTCATGGCTCTTTGTAGCACATTACTATGCGCAAATTGCCATGAAATTGGGCACTACATTTTACAGCAAGATCCTGCAAGGTACTTCCAGACATTTCAATGACTTGACAGACCACTACATTAAATGAAAGTATTAACATTCAGGACTTTAAAGACATAGATCTTGGCATAATTTCTCCAATGATAAGTTTGGTTCTGTGTTTTAATTTAGAGTCTGTTTTCCAGAATCATCCAATTTAGTTTTAGAATTCTCTCTAATGCCCTCAAATTGCAGTCCAGCACTTAGTTATTAATAGTTTTATTGAATTATTAATGTAATGTCAGTTTAACACCGGAATGTCCAATTATAAAATGTTGCACAATTAAATCAGATTTTAAAATGTAGAACTTCTTTGGGAAAATGTTGCATTCAATGCTTTCTTACTAGGATGATACCTGAGAGGAAAGAGTGAGTATAGCTATAAGGAGAGGTTAGTACTCTTCCCGTTGAACAGAAATATAGGGGAAATGTGTAAGATAATGATAACTCTTTCTGCTGGTAAGGGATTAGAGGACAAGAGGGCATGGATTCAAAATTGTGATAAGATGAGTAATAGGGTTGTCGGGGTATAGAATGATTTCCCAGGGGAGAGATAATGAGTACAGTACAAGAGATAAGAAAATGTGAGGAAGCTGCTGGGAAGAAAAAGTAAAACAAAATTGAGTGGACGTTTTGTAAACATATACACAGGCTACGAAAAACCCACTGCGATATTATGTGAAATTGGCTACATCCATCCAGCTTTTGAAATTGATATTCTCTGCTGTGCTCCACAGTGAGAATGTGTTTGATAAAATATAGTTTCAGCTCGGACTATGACAGTTGGTGGCGTCTTGACTGATCTTTTGATGGGTTAGACAAGAGGTGGTTTTAGCAGTTTGATTCTGGAAGAATGAATCACATATCTCACACTGTATATATCTCTGATAGATTTATAGACCCTCTATTTTAACTTGAGAACATGTTATTTTACAGATTGTTCTAACTAATTGGCTACCTTGTTTCACACAAACCCAATACAGCACTTGTTGTAGGAGAATAAAGTACAGATTCTCATAGCTGTGATTTAATATGTTGCTGCCTGATCACTAGGTTAATGGCATAGACCTCCGCACTGCAACTCATGAACAGGCTGCAGCAGCTCTGAAGGGGGCAGGCCAGACTGTGACTATCATCGCTCAATACCGACCTGAAGGTAAGAACCCTGGCCTGAATTAAACTGCTTCTAAGGAAGCTTTCATAGATATATGTTTAATCGGTTTACAGCACTCTAATTAAGCATTAACGTAATAAATTGAGAGTCTAGGAGAGTGAAGCAGTAGGATTATACTGAAGTAGATGTGTAATGGTAGAAAGATTTAGCTATAAAAATCCAGATGTGAATTTTTTTTAAGTCTTTTTCGTTCAGATCCTTTGACTGTATAAAATTGGTGCAGTTTGTCTAATTGTTTAAAACGAACATGATGCCTATACGGAAATATAGAAAGTTGGTTTGGTAAGAAATGTTACATGAATGGGGTGGGTTGAGGGCATAGTAATGCATGAAAATAGCTCAAAGTGGAGTAAGCTTTTTCAGTCTTACCATCATTTTTTTCTTCCAGGAGGGATATATATATGATTTTTGGATTTGAAATGTTATTCCCATTTCAGCCCTACACAATTGTAGCGCTAAGCTCTGAATGCAATGTTGCAGCATACTCAAGGAAGATAAAAGGGCATTTGGTGTACTGAGCTTCATTAATAGGGGCATAGAGTATGAGAGTAGGGAGGTTATGCTTAATCTGTACAATACACTGGTTAGGCCTCAGCTGGAGTACTGAGTCCAGTTCTGGGCACCTTACCTCAGTAAGGATATTAAGGCACTGGAAAGGGTGCAGAGGAGATTCACGAGAATGATACCAGGAATGGGGAAGCTTAGCTATGAGGACAGGCTGGAGAAGTTAGGACTTTTCCCATTAGAGCAGAGAAGGTTACGCGGGGACCTGATAGAGGTCTTCAAGATCATGAAAGGTTTCGACAGGCTAGATAGGGAAAAGCTGTTTCCGCTGGTAGGTGTGTCTGTAACTCGTGGTCACAGTCTTAAGATATTTACCAAAAGAAGCAGAGGGGAGGTTAGAAGAATTTTTTTCACTCAGCGAGTTGTTAGAAGTTGGAATGATCTGCCTGAAAGGGTAGTGAAGTCCGATTCGATAACAGCTTTTAAGAGAGAACTGGATAGGTATCTGGGGAAGACAGGTTTGCAGGGTTATGGGGAGAAAGCTGGTGAGTGGGGTTAATAAAAGTCAGTTGCTCTGTCAAAGAACCGGCACAGAATCGATGGGCCGAATGGCCTCCTTCTGTGCCGTAACATTCTATGATTCTAAGATCTTTCTTTTGAAATCCTCATTTTGCATCCTGAATACCTGGCTTTTGGCTTACAAACATTGTGGGTGGAATGCCAACCTGTTCTAGAAACATGCCAAAAATATACATCGGATTCAGTAGTTCTTACTTTACAAATCGTGGAGTTTGAAATGTGATAAATGTGTTGTAAACCGGTTCCTGAAAGTCAGGTACATTTTCTGACCTTCTGTCTGTTTGATTTATTGGGCCTTTTCTCATTCAAAAAAGGCCAGCCAGTAAAGTTTTTTTCACTTTTTAATAACTTTCAGGATTGGAGAGGTAATTTTTTTAATGTTAAAATTGTGAATTGCAAACTGGAAGTTGCATTCAGTTTGCAACTATTGTATTTTACATACTTTTGGTACATCATGTAAACCTATTTGTTTGTTGAACATTATAACATTTCATTATCTTTAGTGTATTTAACAGAATACAGGAACAGACAAGGCAAGGAGTGGGATAATAATAATAATCCTTGCATTTGATATAGCGCTTTTCACGTCGGGAGGACGTCCCAAAGCGCTTCACAGAACACACTGTAAAGTGAATTGACCGTATATTTGTGGGCGAACGCGGCAGCCAATTGCGCACAGCAATGTCCCACAGACAGTCGTAGATTGAAAATGACCAATTTATTATTGTTTGGGGTTTTGGAGGGATTATTATTAGGCGTGTGGAGTAAGGAAACTTGCCCAAGGTTTCGCCCTGACCTGCCTGGAATTGAACTCAGGTCTCTCACTTGCAAAGCGAGTGCTCTAACCACTGAGCTACAGGACTCCATACAGTAAACCCCGGTTTACCAGATTGGGTGTCTGGAAATAGGACCTAACTGGACTGGGCTCGAAACCCAAAACATTTCTTAAAAAAATTCCACCGGCCCACGTGTGTGTAGACTCCCGCTAGTCAAATCTACTAGCACACGCCAACAGCACACTGAGCAGCCTCACAGTGCCCAGGCAGGAATAACGATTTTGACTCAGATTGTTTGAATCTTGCGAGCAGAAGATAACTTATTTGCTATCTTCTGCTCACAGGATTTAAACAATTACAATGTAGGTAAATACTGGCACCAGCATTGTAATTACACTTAGCTGGAAATTCTGGCTTGCCCGCCTATACACCCCATACTTTCATAGCTTCCCTCACCCAAAGTAAGGGAAAGTACCGAACTTATTTTAATGGGGTTAGGTGGAAAATGTGAATTCAAAGTCCCAATTAAACAACTCATTTATCAAAATACAATTTATTCATGTTCGTTGGTGCCCTAATTTGAGAAGTAATGTGTAAAAATATCCTTGCAACGGAAATCCCTCGCAGTGAATAGAAAAGGAATTATCATTAAGTACTCTGATTCAGTTAACCTTTGACTGATTTTTCCGGAGTTAAACTAGTGGAAAAGCTGCTCAAGTTATGAAACGTCAAAGAAGTTTTATATGATACAAATGTACCCTACTCTATAATAAAACTGAGAATCTATTTCATTTTATGAATGCAGAGATTTTATTTTATGACTTCAAAGCTTGTCAACTTTTTCATGAGTGTTAAATTTTGTATTGACACATTTCGGTTTCTATTTTACAACTTTTTTAAGTAATTTTTTTTTCAAAATCTTGTTATAAAATACTTTGTACGCTAAAGGGGCTATCTCCCCTTTCGGCTCTGTTTCTTCCGATTCTTGCTATTCCAGAGACTATAACCTGTACCCAGCTGTTCAGGGTAATATTCTAATACATTGTTGCCGTACTTACTCCAGGTAAGGTCACCTTGTGCACTGATGCACTGTCAAATGCTTTTGCCACCACTCTCTGGAACTGCATCCTGGGTGGGGTTAGGAGGGGATGGAGGCGCTGCAGTTGGCATCCAAAAAAATTATCCAGGGGCCCAATTTCTAATTGCTATCCAGACACTCTTTACTTGAAGGTGGGCACCTATATAGATGTTGGGTATTATAGGATTGGGTTTATTTAAATAATCTGCCAACACTAACTGTCAAGGCTCACCAGAATAATGGTTAGCTGGTAAAGTACTGGATGGTGCTGAGGCTTACGTACCCAAATCCAATAGAAGGAAAATTCAAAACTCCTTGAAGACTCAAGGTGTAAGGGAGTAAAACCTACCAGAGAGGAAAGGTCATCCCAGGTTCAATAATAATAATCCTTGCATTTAATATCGCACTTTCTAGTCATTAATGTCATAAAGCGTTTCACAGAATTTATTGTGAACTATTGACTACAAATTTATATGTGAATTTGGTAGCTAATTTGCAATTAGCAATATCCCATTAACTGAATGACCAATTTTTATGTAGGTGATTGTTGGTTAGAATATTAGGAGAAACTCCCTTCTCTTTCTAAATTATATCATGGGATCTTTAACGTCCACCAGTACAGGCAGGTGGGGCCTCATTTTAATGTTTCATCCAAAGGAAAACATTGTATTGGAGTGTCAGTCTAGACTTTGGGCTCAAGTTCCAACATGGAACCCACAACCTCTGACTCAGAGGCTAAAAGTACAGTATTATGAACTGAGCCACACTGATATCAGACTTCTTTGCCTCCAACTCTGTTCACTTTTGGAACTTATCTTAAGTCCTTCACAACTTGATCAGTGAAGTCCTGTAGCTCAGTGGTTAGAGCACTCGCTTTGCAAGCGAGACATCTGGGTTCAATTCTAGGCAGGGCGAAACCTTGGGCAAGTTTCCTTACTCCACACGCCTAATAATAATCCCTCCAAAAAAAAACAATAATAAATTGTTCATTTTCAATCCACAACTGTTTGTGGAACACTGCTGTGCGCAATTGGCTGCCGCGTTTCGCCCACAAATATACAGTCAATTCACTTTACAGTCTATTCTGTGAAACGCTTTGAGATGTCTAGAAAATGTGAAAAGCGCTATATCAAATGCAAGGATTATTAGTATTATTATTATCAATTTAATTTTCTTGTGGGAGATAAATTCTATCCCATAACTCTGCATTACATGTCTGTATAATATTCAATTTTAATTCATGGAATGCAATAGCCTTTTCTGTGTTAGGCATGTCTTTTGTAATAAATGACTCGTGTGATTTAATTAATCATCTTGAACACAGTATTCAGTCAGTAAAGAAGTAATCAAATATCTTGCGTACATTTCTAACTGCGGAAGTTGCATGATCATGCATATCTATTTATTCTCTATATTTAGCAGACATAAATCCTGAAATGACTATGGAGTTTTATAATTTAAATGGCAATAGATACAAAGATTGTAGAGCACAGAAACTGGCATTGAGCCCAGCTTGTTCGTGCCAGTGTTTATAACACACACAAGTCTCCATCCATTTCTTAATCCCACATGTGTATATCCAGCTTACTCTGATAGCATCTATACTATCTGATTCAACCTTTGCTTCAGGCAGTGAGATCCACATTCTCATTACCGTCTGTAATGAAGCAGTTCATCCTAAATTCTCTTTTAGATCTCCTAGTCACTATCTTATACTTGTGCTCCCTGGTTATGGACTCCTCGACAAGTGAAACAGCCTATTTATGCTAACCTTATCACACTCTTTTATAATTTGGAATAGCTCTAATAGGTCCCCTCTTAAATGTCTCTTCTCTACTGAGTATAGGCCTAAGTTATCCAGTTTGTCTTGATACCAATAACCTGCCAGCCCTGGTTTCATCCTAGTACATTTATACTGTACTCTTTCCATCATTGCTATACTCTCTTGTAGTGTGGTGACCAGAACTGGACACAGTATTCCAAATATGTTATAGCAAAGGTTCTATACAAATTCAACATTACCTCCTCACTGTATATTCAATTTC